AACAAACACACTGAGAAGGAAATTATAGAAACAATACATTTTACAATAGCACCGAGGAAAATGAAATACCTTGGAATGCATCTAACTAAAGAATCAAAGATCTATTCAAGGAAAATTACAGTACTCTGAAAAAGAGATTGTAGAGGATTTCAGATAATGGAAAGCTATTCCATACTACTGGATAGGAAGAATCAACACTGTGAAGATGGCCATGCTCCCACAAATTTAACGCAATCCCTATCAGACTACCACCGACACATTTCAAAGACCTAGAGAAATCATTCCTAAAATTTATTTGGAAGCAGAAACACCTAGAATAGCAAAGGCAATCCTGGGCAATAAAGACAAGCCAGGAGGCATTACGATTACTGACTTGCAATTATACTACAATGTTACTGTTGTAAAATCAGCATGGTACTGGCATCAAAATAGACCTGAGGACCAATGGAATAGAATAGAAGATGCTGAAGTCCGTACGAACACACTCAGCCACCTTATCTTTTACAAAGAGGCCAAACATATTCACTGGAAGATAGCCTCTTTATCAAATGGTGCTGGAAAAACTGGCTCTCTACATGCCAAAAACTCAAACTTGATCCAGGTCTATCACTATGCACTAAGCTAAAGTCAAAATGGATTAAAGATCTAAACATTAAAGCAGAGACACTAAATCTCCTGGAACAGAAAGTGGGAGGAACTCTTGAAGATATAGGGGTAGGCAAAGACTTCATGAAGAGAAATCAAATTGCACGGAAAACAGTTGAAAGAATTAACAACTGGGACCTGCTCCTACTGATAAGTTTTTTCACATCAAAAGAAATTAACAAAAAAGTGAAAAGGAAACCCAGAAATTTGGAAAAAATCATGATAAAAAAGTACTCAGACAAAGGTCTGCTCTCTAGAAATCTATAAAGAACTAAAAAACACTAGGGCCCCAAAATTTAAAGACCCAATCCAGAAATGGGCATGTGAGATGAACACACACTTCTCAGAGGATGAAACTAAGAAGTGAATAAATATATGAAGATATGTTCTACATCACTAGCCATCCGCGAAATACAAATTAAAAGAACATTGAGATATCATCTCACCCCAGAAAAAATGGCTATCATAAAGAAATCAGCTAACAACAAATGTTGGGAAAGGCTGTGGGGAAAAAGAAACACCTGTCCACTGCTGGTGGGAATGTAGACTGGTGCAACCATTATGGAAATCAGTGTGGAAACTCCGTAGAAAAGTTGGACTGGAAATCCCTTTTAAACCAGCTATTCCTCTACTGGGAATTTTCTTGGAGGATCTGAAAACATCATATCATAGTGATATATGTGTGCCTATGTTTATAGCAGCACAATTTGTGATAGCCAAATCTTGGAAACAACCAAGAT